AAAAAAATTAATGATACAGCTTTTATCACACATGAAGATAAACTATTTCGTATAAACCATTTGCCTTGTCATAAAAGTAACACTACCTTAACTAGGGTCATATCTGTGTTTCCCTATCTTAAACTTGTGCTCTCTAGTTTTACTGCCTGCAAAGCCTCTAGGAACCTTAAAAATCTCAATCATGTTCCCTAAGCCCTTTTATCCAGCTCAAATATTCTATTTTCAAGTGATAACAAAGGGTCATTCCACTTAATTATTCCATTACAAATTCTAAAGTCAGATGGTGACAAACTTGTAAAAATACACTGTAAAATTTCAGCTCTTTTATTTTACACTGGTGAAAGTACCTGGCCTCACTTGGGTTATTAGGTTGATATATTCTAGATGACAATGTTACAGATAATTATAAATGCCACTATACACCATGTTATCCAACCTATATAAAATCCAGTGTATTTCATGTTACATCACGCTTGATTTATAAACTTAAATTGTTTCTGATTTAAGGTTTTTAGTACATAGACTAACAACAATGTTAGGTTATATTTTTCTAGCTAAGAAACATGACGTAAAAGCTATTGTTGGAATGCACTGTTATCAAAATTCACTGCTTTTTCTATATATATATATTAGAAGTTGTTATAAAATGAACCACTTCTTTTCTATGTAGATTTTTTACTAGCTTGCCTCATTAAAAAGATGTGCATGTAGATAAGTAATAATACCCAGGTGCACACCCTCAGGGTCTACTTAGTATGAATGCAATATTTCAGGTTTCTAGGTATTGGAGCTATGGCAGTCACACATACACAGATATGCACATGAATGTCTGTCTGTCTATCTGTGATTTCAATTTGTAATATAAGTAACCACTTCTTTTCTACGTGGCTTTTCACTAGCTTGCCTCATTAAAAGATGCGCTCGTGCATGTTTCTTTTTGATGTGGTTTTTTGCACTAAAAGATGTGCACGAGGATGTGTGCATGCATGTATATAAGTAATAATACTCAGGTGCACAGCCTCAGGGTCCACTTAAGTATGGGTGCAAACTTTCAGGTTTCTAAGTTTCTTTGTACTGGAGCTATGGCAGTTGCACATACACAGACAAGCATGTGTGCATGCATGTGTGTCTGTCTGTAATATCTATTTTAATATAAGGAACCATTTCTTTTCTATTTGTTTTTTTTTGCTAGCTTGCCTCGTTAAAAAAATGCACATGCTCACATGCATGTGGTTAAATGAGTAATAATACCCACGTGCAAACTCTCGGGGTCCACTTAGTATGGGTGCAAAATTTCAGATTTCTAGGTTCTTTTCTCTTGGAGATATGGCAGTCACATTTTTTTCCATGTGGTTTTTTTGCTAGCTTGCCTCATTAATAAATATACACAAATGCATAGGTGTAATTCACTTAACAGGAAGCTAGCTAGCTAGCTTTGTCCTTCATTATTTATCAGCCAAACAAACCAGGTTTTCCACTGTGACGTTATGTAATGTTTTCATAAAAATACTAATGTCTGATGAGAATCCACTGAAGTTAAACGATTTGTAATGTTCGAACTTTGTAAAGGTTCCTGGTCAAATATCTGAAGTTTTCCAATTGATAAGCATTATAATGATCACAGTTATAGCTTCCAAAGTTTATAGCACACTGACTACAGTAAACTAATAATAGATCCTCTCTTTTGGTGCGGCTCATTGGTTATATTTATAGGCATGTAGAGAACTTCTAGAAAATTCAGATTACATAACAATACAAATTCAAGCATTCACATACACACATACACTGAGTGGTCACAAGTAAATAGACACCTAATTTTTCGTCATTTAACTGATTTATG